TCGTACAAACTTTATTTAACCCTTAATTGTCCGGGTTGTTTTGACCATCTTACTGCCGGGGGCGGATCCCCCCCCCCCCCCACCTGAGATCGCGGCCTTCGAGTGACAAATACTATCAAACTCGGTACCTGCATAGATGTAGTAACATAAACATTCCCTGGAAATTTTATGAAAATAGGTTGAAAGGTTTTGGAATTATGGTTTAATACTTATACATGTGCACCAATGGTAATTCGGCTTTAATTAATGTTAAGAAATTATGTTTTTGCTGCGCGGCATTTATATGTTTTTGCTATTAAAAGATGTGCAAGACTCGAGCCCCCCCCCCCCCGACCAAGTGTCCGGGGAAAAAAACGTGTCTACATTTCAGAATGTTTTTGCCGATGAACCCCCCCCCCCCCGGCAAAAACTCCTGGATCAGCCCCTGTATTGAGTAAGAGTGTTCCCACAATGCCCATGGTTTGAGGATACTTGATCCAAGAAAAGTAAAACCACGAACACAACCCCCCCCCCCCCGCCAGAAAAGTGACATGTTGCCTGCTAGGTCATTTCATCTCAGCCCCCGCGTTCTTGTGTAGTCAGCATCCCTTGTTGAGATTGTGTCCGCCCGATAGTCTGTAGGTTCGATTGTCCAAAGTTCTTTAGTGGGAAGGTTCGATAGTCCGAATGCACACAATCCCCAGAGGTGGTTCATTTGTCCGAAAATGAAATAATGTTCGTTAATCTGAACATTTGAAGCAATCTTCCGAAAGTTCATTAATTAGTCCGAAGGTCAACTAGACCGAAGGTTCGGTACTAAGTTCCCAATTTAGAATAGGGTTAATTAGTCTGAAGGTTCAGTACAGTCCGAAACGAAAATAAGTTTCACTAGTCGGAAAGGTCATTGTTCCGAATACACAATAAGATCCGATAGTCCGAATAGCCAATTAGGTCCGATAGTCCTAATTAACAATAATTCCTATTGTCATTTCGGACTATCGAACCTTGTCCATTCGGACTATCGAGCCTTATTCGATTCGGACTATCGAACCCTGTCGTCTATTCGTCATTTTCTGTTAATTGTCAATTTTTTGCTGGCAGAAACTTAAATGATTCTACTTTACTATAATAGTGAACAACAAATCCGTAATTAACGTAAATATGAATAAGTTCAATTCAAAGCATACATAAAATAATATTAAACAAACCTGTTCTCTTCCATGCAAAGATGCTCAAGAAAATGCCTCTCACCAGTAAGGGTAGGCCCTGAACCAAATTACAATTTTACAAAGTAAACAAAAATGATAGGTTCTTGGCTAACTGGAAATAGTTTGTCGAAAGGTAGGCGTCACATAATTCTTATTGGCTTCCATCTGTTGTTTCCTTGCACTAAGAACACTGATTGGAGCATAGGGGATTCATAACATGGAATTGTTGCGTTGGGTGATGTAAATCTCATTAAGTTTTGCCCTTCACACTGTAAAACAATTGGGTAAAACACTGTTGGGCAATATGATTTTACCCAACATTGGTTTAGAAATTACCCAATTTGGGTAAACATTTTCCAACAATTGGGAAGACTTTTCCCCAAGAGTTTAACCTGTTGATATGTTGAACAACGTTGGTCTACATATCGACCCATTTTGCCCAACGTGTTTATGTGCACCGACGTATAGACACTGTATACTAAGTGTGTTGGCTGGTTCGAATCTGATGTACATAGCAGCGGGCACCGCATTAACCCTAAAAGGGCAGGGTTATTTTTGCCATCTCTCTTCAGTTTTCACGGCGCGTAGCGCTGGAAAATTTTTCGCTACGCGGCAACCCGTGGTCCGATTTTATGTTTTTGGTATCAAAAGATACGCAAAGCTCGAAGCTAAAAAGTCATAACAGCCCGAGTCGCGAAAAAATTGTTTTAAAGGCTATCGCGGAAAATGTTGAGAGGGATTGGGGGGATTTGCCCCCCTCCCCCCCGCCCCTCTAGGGTTAACTATTCATAATATGGAATGTTCGTGTTGGGGCGATGTAAATCAAATTACGTTCAATCTGCTTTTCTGCTATTACGTTAGCAGAAAAGCAGATGTCCACTTCTGAACCTCTATATTAAGGGTCGCACATTGACCTGACCGCCTTGTCACCCACAGCCGTGTAACAGCTAGTCTGGCGGTGAGCGGGGAAGCTACAAACGCAATCGATGAGAGACACCGACAGGTGATGATTCCACCAGGCCAGCAATGTGGACAAGGACTCGTGCAGGTGGAAAGTCTAGTAGACGAACAGTAGCAAGAAACGCTGGACTCAAATTGGGCTGAGACGGCAATAATGGATGATGTCTAACCCTAAAGGGGCCGGGTTATTTTGACCATCTCTCAGCCGGGGGGGGGGGGGCGGATTCCACTCGATTCGGCCATCGAGTGACGAAAAATTTTGAAACTCGGCACATGCATAGAGCAACTCTTCCTAAACATACCCACGAAATTTCATGACTATAGGTCAAAGGGTTTTGGAATTATGGCTAATTAATTATTCATATGTACGAATGGCAATTCTGCTCTGTGTACACGACGAATATGCGAAAATTAAGTTTTCACGGCGCGTAGCGCCGGAAAATGTTTCGCTACGCGGCAACCCGTGGTCCGTTTTTTAATTTTTTGGTATCAAAAAATGCGCAAAGCTCGAGGCTAAAAAGTCATAACAGTTCGGGTCGCGAAAAAAATTTTTTTAGAGGCTATCACGGAAAATGTTGAGTGGGGGGCGGATTCCGCCCCCCCCCCCGGCCCCTTTAGGGCTAAACCAGAACGCATGGGCTACTAGGTTTGGATTGGATTCAGAACACAACGTGGGATTACGTCGTGGGTTTCGGGTCCCGTTGAAGCGGCCCATTTTTTATTTATGTATTATTTTTTTTTTATTCTAGATGCTCTGTCAAGCGATCTCAGGCAAATTTTCGAACCACTGTAACCAAATGTTTTTGAGGACGAGATGTTAGTGTGCGTAGTAGCTGCCTTTTTTTGCGTTGCCATTGAAAAACATTTTCCTTTGTTTATTTTTGTTTTTAATTTGGGGAGCAGGGGTAAGTTCCAATCCCCCCCCCCCCCTTTCTTGGATTCGCAATTGCATACCACTAATCAGTCAAACATTTTGTTCGGGATATTTTATTTTTTACTTCTTTTCTGTCCGAGCCTTTAAAACACTTCCCAAACTAAAAAAAAACACGCAGAATACCAAAATAATTTGCATTGAATTACTTGTTTATTTGGTCTGGTAGAGACTATTTTTTTCCTGTATTTTGTTTTTCCATTAGACATTCTATTATCAAATGAAATCTGCGAGACTTCCCACGATAGCTAGAATGTAATCAGATACCTGGTCAAAGCATACCGGGCCCAAGCTTTACATTCAGATATTAAATAACTGGTGCGGCCGGAATCGACTGGCTAGGGCAAAGTACGCTCCAGGTCTCAATAAGGCACGGTGACAAGACCACAACGCCAGGGCTGGGGTGAGATGGAGTGTGGAGTGTGATGGCCTAGTGGTTAAGAACACCGGACTCACGTTCTGGTGTTTCAGAGGCAACAGTGACGTGGGTTCGAGCCCGCCGGCGGACACTTGTGCTCTTAAGCAAGGCACTTAACCATTATTGCTTCGTCCTTCGGATGGGACGTTAAGCCGTAGGTCCCTTGTGTTGTATACATGCACGTAAAAGAACCGAGTAAACACTTATCGCTAAGAGAAGGGGTTTGCCCCGGTGTTTCTGGCCTCCTGTATAAACTCCCACGTGGAGTATTTAGGAGAAGAACAAACCAAGAACCAAGAACCAAGATGGCTGGGATGGGATGGGGAAATTGATTTTACGGAGGCCAAGTGTCCGGAGAAAAAAAACTGTCTACATTTTACCACCGATGTGCAAGTGCCCTCCTGCAATACCCCCCCCCCCTTCCCCAATAAAAAAATGCCCGTGCTACGGCTAATGTTTCTGTCTATGTGCCATTATCTGAATGTAAGCGGAAGTGCTCTATGCTGAGAGCACGGAGGAATGTAAAACCTCCATGCTGATGCTGAGAGTGATGCTCTACATCCGGAAGGGCAAAACCTTGACATCACCTTGACACTAAATTCCATCTCATGAAAAGTTTCAGTGCGGTACCCGCTTCTTCAGCCAATTCGAACCAGCCAGCCCATTCCGCAAGCTGGGTGGTGGAGTGGTAAGACAACTGCACTAGAAAGCAGGAGGTCGTGGGTTCCAGTTCCACCCTGATGTGGAGCACTGGCAGGCATCAGGCCATTCCTTATTTACATACATTTAAAGAAAAAACGAGTTCAAATGATCTAATACCATGGTGAGAGAGCAGTAAGTGGTGGGAGCGTACTGCCTTACACCCTGGGAACGAGGTTGGTTTCGCCATATAAGCATAGAGCAAGGCCGCTTATGTTCAGTCAATTGCCCCAAACCAAAAACATGACTAAAATTTTTCCGGGACCTCACTTAACATTTTAGTACAAAATCTGCTACAAAATATCCGTGTACGGTCTATACATCGTGTACCTATTACTAAGGAGAATTCTGCGGAATCCCCTTAGGGCCAAGTACGTCTTTCTCTTTCAAAGGGGAGCGTTTTCTCTTTATACACGATGGTGTGTTTCTATTTCATGGTAGCTATAGCCTCTCCTTCATAACGGTACACAAAATCCGACTTTGTAAACGTGACCACGATTCACACTGTAAACACGTTGGGCAAAATGGGTTGATAATGAAGTCCAACGTTGGTCGATATATCAACAGGTTAAACTCTTGGGTAAAGTCTTCACAATTATTGGAAACTGTTTACCTAAATTGGGTAATTTCAAGCCAATGTTGGTTTAAATGATATTGCCCAACCGTGTTTTACCCATTATTTTATTTACAGTGCAGGGAGTCCTGTCACCTACTGGGAGGGGCCAGAATAGAGCATGCGCAGTGAGCTTACCGTGGTATTCGTTCATGCTATATAAAGACAGCCAGCGAACTCTCTTTGAGCAGAGACGTCCAAGATGTGACAGCGCTCTCCAAAGTCGTTGGTGAACTGAACAAGACTGGCGGACCTTGCGCACTGAATAAAACGGTAAGTTGAATGGCCAAGATGGTCATTATCAGTACGTTCGATTACTTCCCCGTGCTTACTCGTGCAAGCGCGACAGCGTTCGATTTACCTCTCAAGTGACGTTCGCGCTTACTCGAACCTGGCCCAAGTGACCGACTCGCCGAGCCGGTTACTTGGGTAAGTATCCCATCTATGTAGAGCTACGTTACGCATCCCCGCGTATTTTCACTGGTTGTGGACGTGCTCTAGACATAATTGCTTCGGATGCAGCCTGGGAATTCGGAAAAATGTTGCAATCTGACGCCACTCCACGATTGTGTACAAAGTCTATGGAGAGTCAAGCCATTTTTGGAATATTTCTCAGTCCCAGATTCATGTCTTATCATCATTTTGCAATGAATGACCTTCATTGAGATGATATATGAAGAAAAAAGTGGCGTCAGGTTGCAACATCCCCCCCCCCCAGAAAAGCAAGAGGATACAGTGAGAATACAAGTGAGAATACAAGAAACAGAAAAAAGGGAGAAAAGAAAAGAGGCGAGAAGTCATATTCGTGTAAATTTAATGGATGGGTGGGTGGGGGCAAAATGTCCCTACACCCCTCTAAAACTGATAAATCGAGAATATGTTGAGAAAAACAGGATTTTTTTGGTAAATATTTGTTTGCCCCCCCCCCCTATAGAAACAAATCCTGGCGGCGCCCATGTTTCCAGCTCTTGCACGAAATTTTACCTGAAACCATTCGTTTATTTAGCTCCACTGCGCACGTCTGTCATTACGCGAGGAGTCAGGCGCAAGTAAGCTGGGGGAAGTAATCGAACGCACTCTACACTAAACCATGTGTTTAGGTTTAGAACACCTAAATAAACACTAATTTGTGACAGTTTTTAAACATGTGACGCAGTTTAGGCCAAAAAAAAAAGTCTCCGGTTTCTGGTATGCGCGCGCGTCGCCGTAGCCATGCGCTTCGGCAAAATTAAAAAAAGTTTGTTTTTTTCAATGAAAGATGATGTCTCAAAACCGCCAAAATCACTGGTTTGACTGGAATCCTGCTGCTGCACAATTTTAACGAATTTTTAGATGGGGTTATGATCGAGAATAAGCTTTATGTGGCCTCTCTGGACTCCCATATATTTGCACTAAGTTTAGTCGGGCACCATGTGCAGTCATCAGCCGACATTTGAAGCAAAAAAAATCAGGTAAAAAAAAAAAAAAGCCGCGTCGCCGCACCACTTTTCAGGCAAGCTCCATACCAGAAACCGGAGACTTTTTTTGGGGGGGGGCCTTATCCAATGAACATGTTTAATTTGAAAACATATTTGGTGTTTAAAATCAGCACACTGACGGTGTTAATCTTTAAACGGAACAGTGTTTAAAATATATACACCAAAGGCGTTTAACATTTAAATACTACTGACGTTTAAAAAGTAAACACACAGTCAAAAAGAATACACGTCACTCTGTTGTAATTTTAAACATGTGAAACGTTTATTGCCTGTGACAGATTTTAAACATGTGACGCCATTTATTATTATTTTCAAGAGTTTATATTCACAGTGTGTGTTTAGTTTTCGAACAGTATTCAATATTGCAAGTAAAACTTCAGTCACAATATTAACAACATTGATATAAACGCATTTAGGGCACTTCACAAAGCTGTTTTCATTTTCACCTATAGGATTGTGGTGAAAGGCCTATTGAGTTCTATCGAATCAAGAAAATGGACACAATAAAATACAAATGTATTTTTATGGTCACCCCTAGAGAATATTTTACATCACGACAGCAAAAATAATGTGACATTTATGTGAATATATCACATGCCTATCAGTATGTTTCCAAAAATCCTTTTGTTAAGACCCCAACATTAAGGCCAATTACATTTTTTACACGTATCAAAACAAAGAAACAAAAACATGAACAAACCCAAAAGAATGAATTTGAAGTAAATAAATATATCTGTAAATAGGGCTAAAAACAATTATTTTCCAATTCAAAGAGAGTTAGAAGTAAAACTGCAAATTAATTATACTTGTTTTTTAAAACCTATGAAGGTTTGCGTTATAGTTTGAAGAGGTAAAACAAGTATTGATCTTTAGCTGAGATTTCAACAACATATCCAATTAATTTTTCCACAAATACCTTGTAGTGAACTGCATGAATTTGCTGGAATCTGCCAGGAAAACTTTTCTCTGATTATGATTTTTTTGAAAAGAACTCAAAGCACGTGAAAATACTGTGGATAATCCAAATCAAAGGCATAGTACCCCGAGGCTGGAGAAGAAGCGCATCATTGTACGTGTTGTAGTTCGAGACTTTCTTGATGGTGTCTCCACATGTAATGTTAACTGTAGTTTTGATGCAGATACTCTGTCTGGTTCAGCAGCATTCTGTTGACATAAACAAGATTTCTGAGTGAGCCATACAAAAACTGATCAACTTTGAAAGTGAAACCATGCTCACAGTAAAAAAAACTAATGGAGACCCTAAAATGACAAGCCATTAATAAAGTTTACTCAAGAAAGAATATGAAAACTGATTACAAAATTGGGTTCAAAAGTAAATTGCACAATTGTCGGCCTTTTTGGGACTCACGTCAATATTAACCTTTGTTATCAAACATAATGTGCACAAAGACTGTGAAGTAACAGTTTGAGCTTGATCATGGATCAAAAATTAAAAATCAAATCTAAAGAAAATAGGCAAGCTTTTCATAGTTTCGTACCAATAACTTTGCAGTCATGTAGGTATTTACGGAGACTGTGTATTTAAAATTGTATTTTAAAATTGTATTCATCTAGAATGTTGTACTTTTTTTCATTTCATGATGTTTTACCGCCAGAGTAAATTTACAGTGGAAGTTGAAAGGTTCGTATGTAAGATAGAATCTCAGCCAAAAATCATCATTCAATGAAATTGAAGATTTGAATTATATATTTTTATATAATACAAAATTACCTCATGAATAGTTAACACTCTCCTCGTCTTCGTACCCTCGCCACGTTCAAACTTGGTGTTCTGCTGAACGTACATGTATGCAATTACATCGAGTATCTACAGAGGACCCTATATTCAAAACATAACACATGTTCTGTAAAGCGAATGGTTTTGAATCACTGTGAAATACTGCACTGACCAAAAATTTGGGGATCATCTTTTATGTATACGCACTGCGGGTTTTTCAAAAGTTGTATACACAGCTGATCTTTACAATCACACACTGCACTGCCAAATGACGATCATGCCAAAAGACACTTACCTTATTTTAAAAGTCAATAGCTTCTTTCATCTGCAAGGGATTAGACACACCCTGAAAATATACAGACAGAAAATATTAAAACAATATACGCCCATAACATCATGTGAAATTGAAATTATGGTTAAACAATTTGTACCTGACCTTACAAATACTAGAATTTTCTTTTCAAAATCATTCATGCTGGTCCCTTTCAGCTTACATAACTTAGGCAGTGGTGATAACAGCATGCTTTTATTGAATAGTTAAATCACGATTTCAAAAAAAATCCACTTCACTGAATTTTCTAAGATTACAAAAATGTTGACACTGCGTGTTTGCAATTGCAATTCGCCCCATAGGCTATAACCTCATATTAAGTACACACTCAACATAGATCATCCCCATAATGTGGCTCAAATACAGAACTTCCTTCATAATATTGTGAGCTGCACAGCAGTTATACTTTATAACAGAATCGTCATCCAAGAAAAATAATATGAGGAAATCAAAATCAGAGTTGTTTTTTCCCCTTCGTATTCATGTTTTATCACACGATCCTTTGGCCAATAATTGCTCCAACTAGTTCATCTCAATCATATTTCTAAATCTATCATACTGTTTATCGGGATTAATTTAATCAAACAACACAAAAGACAAAACTTACCACCTGTGTGGAAGCTTCCAGAACTGGTTCAAACTACAACCGTCGGACTGCATGCACAGAATACGTTGCATCTGAGTACTCTTGCTGACTTGGCAATATGCTTACCAAACTTGACCTCTAGCCTAGGTCATGACAAACTGTTAGTACCTTCTGTAAGACTACATGTATATTGTTTCATTACCCGATGCACATTTTGTTACCACGAATGACGATACTAATTCTCGCTATTACATTATTCTATTAGTGTGCCCAGATTTATTGTCAGAAAAATGGCGGTTGTCTTTGTGCCGCGTAATTAACTGGCCCGATTATGCCAGCACGCAATCAGATTTAATCCTATTGGTTAAGACCTAACATCACGTGGTAATATTTAAACATCGTGACGTGTACCGTGTTTATTAGGTGTTGATTAAAACAGCTAAATTAATAACTTGAGTTATTAAACAAAGTGTTATTCTTTGGGAATAAACAAAATGCTAACTAGTGAAATTGAACAGTTAAACATTTTCGAAGACCGATCTCATAATAAACACCCTTTAGCACTGTTGACATTAAACGCTAACTGTTTTGTTAAAAACACAAGATGTGTTTAATTTTGTCACATAGTGTTTAAAGGCAATGTACATCATTGCCTTTGCTGTAATTTTCAGAAATGAACTATTTTGAGGGTTAATATAACAGATCAAATATTGTTAAACTGACATGTTTGAAGTTTTGTGTTCGAAAATGCTGGAAAAACCAAGAAAAACTAAAAATTTCAAGTAGTCTGGTTCCCAGACTCCACTAAGGATGCAATGGATCAAAATTGTAATGTAATGGAACCAGTCTAACTGGCCTGCACCCGTTTATGAACATGTAACCAATAGCATTTATACAAAATACCACTTTTCTTGAAAATGACTTCACACCTGGTGCCATAATTTTACAGGATGCTTAAGACTGTCATTTACCAACATCCTAGTAAAGTTTTATGTAAAAAAAATCGGTAGTTTTGTTTTTCGATGTTTGCAAATGTTTTATATTCCCTTTAAATCTAAAACACTGCGTTTATTTTTTAAACGTGTCACATGTTCTTGCGTTTTACAGTGTTTGTAACATACTGACAGATTAAACGGCAAC